AATGTCACGAGAAGACAGTGAGTGTGACTTCCTCGTCAGAGGCTAAATACGCGTGGCCATGTGAGAGCATTTAGAGAGGGAGAGAGGACTCTCCCCACTCTCGACCGTACTAGGGCATGTGGGGAGATTCAATCAAACAATATCAACTGAATTTAAACTTCACCCTATTCCACAACCAAGTGGCTATCACGAATCAGTAGTTGAATGAATAACGTGATGGCGTTTGAGGCGAACGGTACTGGGTTCGAGTCCCAGAGTGAACATCAACTTTGAGATGCAAGTACATCCAGCTGACAAGTCCTAAATAGGACGAAGTTTCGCGCGTGCTGGATTCCACTGCTAGCCACTATTCACATTTAGTTTGTGTTTTTTTATCACGAGGTAACTAAACGTTTCTTTTATTTCCCTAGGACGTCCTCCGTTTTTGAGGTTTGGATGATGTCTCCACAAGGATGTTATGTTCAAGATGAAATGACTTTATCTATATTTATTATTGTATGATTACTCTGATATAAATAAATGCGCTTTTGCCATTTCGTTTTTCACGCTTCTTCTATAAACACTGCAATGTAGACTCAACTTGTTTCATGTATGCTAGATCGATCATTTCAAACTCCACATCTTCCCATCCATTACTCTTCAGCCCAAAAGACCGACTTCGTAATACAATAAAATAATCTCACTAACTAAATACAACAAATCCAAAGAGAATCTATCAACGTAACATCAATATGAATGTTGTATTCATTTTCGAATTTTCATAACACAATTTGATATTTAAAACAATTAGTCCCTTTGATAAATTTCGATTATACAATGAGAAGACGAAGTTTATCACAATTATGTAATGATATATTAGCGCAATACATTTCGAACAATCTGATCACACATTATATACTTGTTAAGACATTTTTTTATATGAAAATTAAAAGGTCAACTAGACAGGTTAAGGTAAGAAAATAAATAAAGTACACAAAAATTTCGGATAGGATTTAATACTTTTGTAAGCCATTTCGCAAGTTTATGTGTAGGTGACCGACATATTGATAGAATTGGACGTAAAGGGATATTAGGCTTATGCATGTTTGGCAATCCATATAAATGAGGATACACCGAATCCATAAGTTTTAATAAATGAAACTCATCCTTGTTAATAGCGTTCATGTTTAACAATTTTGTTAGATTCAAGTTCATTTTCTTTTCTAATTAGTGTAATCCATCAGAGTCAACATCAGCCATGAATTTGCTCTTATCACTGAGAATCAATTCCATTTTATTTATGTAATCGGACTTATTCATAATTACAACACCAGATCCTTTATCGGGTTTAAGTATAATAATATCGGCATTGTTTCGCAATTCTTTTAAGGATTTGAAGTGCTGAGAAGTTAGTATGCTTCTCTGCTTCGGTCCAAAGGAGTGAAACTGATGTGCTATGGCTATGCGCTATGAATTCCAATGGTCAAATAAGATCACAGGATAGACAAACATCTTCCTCCATTGCGAAACATTTAGTTGAATCTGGTCATAAGGTTGACATCAAATCAGCGTTTGTAATGTTGTACAAAAGCCTTCAAGGACGTATACTAAGGTTTAGTGAAGCCTTGGCTATACGGAAATTGAAACCCCCTTTATGTGTTCAAAAACAATTTGTTCTTACCCTTAACCTACCCTGGTAATGCTGATTTATTATCCAGAGTGGTTATCACATTGTGATTGATTGACTGATTAAGCGGGTGAGTGACTCCATCAAACGTCGGACAAATAAGATCAAAGGAAATTAAAGTGCGGAATGATACTGATTTACATGATGATTATCTAGAGTAATTGCAACGGAACCACTGACACCAATCACATACTAGTAGTCAGTGACTTGTGAAGTGACAACTTACTAACCAGTTACATTTGCAAGTTACTCATAAGCTATGCAACATAGCATATTGATTGAATACGCATTCCTTCAGCCCATTCCTTATCACGAATGTCCATTAGAGAGTCATGACAATGAAAGGAACATTTGTTAACCGTAGTAACCCGTATCAACTACTTTATTATTTGTCTACTTGTCGCAATTTAACTCCGCCTGTAGCTCCTCTGGGAGTTACTGCCGGTCCCAAGCCCGGGTAAAGGAGGAGGGTTGGGCATGGGGTTAGCGACCCCATCCTGTAGAAAATCAACTCGCTAAAAAAACGCTAACCATAAAAAATCATTCCAACCTTTCAAACTCTGCCCTGGGAGTAGAAGGAATAATTATGACGTCTCATGATGAAAGCCGAGTTCCTTCGGAAGTCATGAGGCGGATGCACCTTCTTACAACCAGAGCAACAATTTTCATAGGTACATGGAATGTCCGAACAATGTGGGAGACCGGAAGAGTCTTCCAAATTGCTGCAGGAATGAGAAAATACAACCTGGAGGTTCTTGGAATCAGTGAAACACATTGGACGCAGGTTGGACAACGACTGTCTTCAGGAGAAGTTCTGTTATACTCCGGTCATGAAGAAGAAAATGCCCCACATACACAAGGAGTTGCATTGATGCTGTCCAGAAAAGCACAAAATGAACCTATAGAATGGGAATCTCATGGACCAAGGATCATCAAAGCCTCCTTCAGAACAAAAAGAGAGGGCAAGAGCAGCATACCTACAACTGAAAAACATCTGGAGCTCAAAACAATTGTCAACCAACACCAAGGTTAGAATTTTCAATACAAATGTCAAGACAGTTCTACTGTATGGGGCGGAGACGTGGAGAACTACGAAAGCCATTATCCAGAAGATACAAGTGTTCATCAACAGCTGTCTACGCAAAATACTTCGGATCCGTTGGCCAGACACTATCAGCAAAAAGTTACTGTGGGAGAGAACAAACCAGATTCCAGCAGAGGAAGAAATCAGGAAGAAGCGCTGGAAGTGGATTGGGCAGACCTTGAGGAAATCAGTTAATTGCGTCACAAGAAAAGCCCTCACATGGAATCCTGAAGGTCAACGGAGAAGAGGAAGACCAAAGAACACATTACGCCGAGAAATGGAGACAGACATGAGAAGAATGAACAAGAACTGGATAGAACTAGAAAAGGAAGCCCAGGACAGAGTGGGTTGGAGAAAGCTGGTCGGCGGCCTATGCTCCATTGGGAGTAACAGGCGTAAGTAAGTAAGTAACTTGTCGCAATTTAGACATTTAATCCACTATGTAAATTTATGTTTGGGTCTGATTGAGCACATGCCTGCACACTAATCTATTCTCCCATTAATTGTAACACACAGATAATAATGTATGTAAGATTGATTTTTAACACACACACACACACACATTTCCCTCTATAACTGGTGTTCGGCTTTTTGAATAATTTCGAGTAAAATGCATAATTCTACTAGGAGATTTAGCCTACGTAAATACTCAGTTAGTGGGATACTAAGATGTAGAGGAATTAAAATATTCAAAAGTAACAGGTTGGATTATTGTGCAGTTCGATCGAGCTTCACTTTTAAGCTTTATGTTGTTAAGCTAAACATTAATGCGGTATAATCTCTACAGTCCAATATCTGAATTTCACTCAGGTTGGTATTTTACATTTGATACATTGTGCTCTGAAGCAAACAAGAGTGCAACAATCCTGATGGTGCCTGTGTGCCTCTATGTTCACACTCAATGATCAATCACACTTTCACTACAACACATCAATCTCATAAATAACTGGTAAACAGAGCGAACTGACAAATCTTGAAGAGAAAAGATATAGAAGATAGTCGAAAGAACATAAATAAATAACCGCCAGTCAAAACTTTAAGAAATCAACACCCGATTCATTTATTAATAGTAAAAACATTCCCATGTACATGGATAGCAGATCCAAAATAATAGTCCCCAAGCCGAGCACATGCTCTAGAAAAAGTTGCAGATGAAAGAAAAACCTACATTGTTTCAAAGGAATTTTCTACTTAAATCCTAATTTTATCATGGAATTGATAAATCTCCTATTTTATCTTAAGAATAAAATTGAACTTTATACAGGGGCTTACGAAATAGTTTTTACTTCTATTTGTCATCATCTAAGGATGAAATCTGGATATTCTTCATCAATAAAAAACTTCTACGAACCATTGGCTTGACACAGTAATACATGATGTTATTAATTCCTATACTATATCCTTATATACAACCCATCTTTTATATACTACCACCACTAAATTAACTATTTCTATGAACCCAGTGTTCATCTTGTTGTGCTAATGAGGTATGGCAAATTGGACCAATGGATAAATATACTTGGTCCCACGTTGTAGCTGACTGACTGATATGTTATTGATAACTGATCTTTTAAAATTATTTATTTTGTCTCTAATTATATTATGATATTTATGTATTCTAACTTGGAATCCTGAAGGGTAGTGGAAAAAAGGAACGCCAAAGAACACATTACGCCGGGAGATTGAAGCAGATGTGAGAAGGACGAATAACAACTGGAAAGGATTGCCCAGGACAGGGTTGAATGGAGAATACTGGTGGGTGGCCTATACTCCTCAACGAGGGGTAACAGGCGTAAGTAAGTAAGTAATTTATATATTACTTATGCACTACACATAATCGTTATGATTATGAACGGTGGCTCCAACATCGTCGATTGGTTGAAGTTAGACATTAACACCGTTGAATGCCGGCTCAGTGGTCTATCGGTTAAGTGCTCTGGTGCGAGACTGGTAGGTCCTGGGTTCAACTCTCGCAAGTGCGGGATCGTGGATGCACACTGCTGAAGAGTCCCATAATAGAACGAAACGGCCGTCCAGTGCTTCCAGGTTTTCCATGGTGGTCTAGCTTTTAGTATTAACCGTTATAACATTTTTACTATTTTAACAAATTAAGACTTGTAAGAAAACCACTTTAAAAAAATTTTTCTCTGGTTAGCGTTTTTTTAGCGAGATAGCTATTCTACGGGGTGGGGTCGCTAACCCCATGACCAACCCTCCTCCTTTAACCGGGCTTGGGACCGGCAATAACTCTAGAAGAGCTACAGGCGGAGTTCACTTTAAAAAAACCGACGTAAATGTGATTTCGAAAAAAAATGTAACCAAAAACTAAGTACAATTTGTAAAACTATTTACCAATTTAAAGTAACTGAGATGGACATGATTGAGAATTATAAATATGAATAAGTTCAAATAAATCTTCTTCTGTACATGAAGATTTACGAATTAATTGTTGACGCATAATTAAAGCTAAAAGTGTATTCAATTCTAGTAGTATTGAATCATTATATACCCATTCACTTGATCCAACCTTTAAAATAAATAAATAAGAATTATCCAAATATTGTGAACATTGTTAAAATTGAGTAAACAATCTTTAGATTAAACAATCACCAACACACTCTGAAACTTTAGTATTAGTCCAAGTCACATTTTCATATACTTATCAGTAATTGATAATGAAAACAACTACTCAAGATCATATTGAAGTCAACATACCAATAAATAAACTCCGCCTGTAGCTCCTCCGGGGGCTACTGCCGGTCCCAGGCCCGGATAAAGGAAGAGGGTTGGGCATGGGGTTAACGACCCCGTCCCGTAGAAAACCAACTCGCTAAAAAAACGCTAGCCAGCAATAGTGTGAAAAAATTATTCAAACCATTCAAACCATTACAACTGAAGAACATCTGGAAATCAAAACAACTGTCAACCAACACCAAGATCAGAATTCTCAATACAAATGTCAAGACAGTTCTTCTGTATGGGGCGGAGACGTGGAGAACTACGAAAGCCATTATCCAGAAGATACAAGTGTTCATCAACAGTTTTCTACGCAAGATACTTCGGATCCGTTGGCCAGACACTATCAGCAAAAAGTTACTGTGGGAGAAAACAGACCAGATTCGAGTGTAGGAAGAAATCAGGAAGAAGCACTGGAAGTGGATTATGCACACTTTGATGAAATCACCCAAGTGCGTCACAAAACAAGCCTTCACATGGAATCCTGAAGGCCAAAGGAGAAGAGGGAGACCAAAGAACACATTACGCCGAGAAATAGAGACAGACATGAGAAGAATTAACAAAAGTTGAATAGAACTAGAAAAGAAGGCCTAGGACAGAGTGGGTTGGAGAATGCTGGTCGGTGGCCTATGCTCCATTGGGAGTAACAGGTGTTAGTAAGTAAGTAATACCAATAAATAACGAACTACATTGTGAAATAACTTGACTGATAACTAAAATACCGATTACTTGGATCTTGATTAACAGTTTGAACATTTGAACACTCACTGAAATAAATAAACTTGGAGTTGTGTAGATCATTAGAAAATCCTGAAGAATCCCGAAAGATGACGTACCTACTATCTAGTAAACTTTAGTTTTTAGTTGTTTCCCTCTTGTTATGAAAACGAGATAGTAGAGCAACCAGACATAGAATGAAGTTAGATGTCACCAATTCCAAAATATGATGTAAACTCTCAAAGTCCCTTACTGCATTCGTAATACATTAAGGCAACGGCATAATCTTGAAGGTTTTCCAATGAATGACACTGTAGCACAAATAACAGGAGCTTTTAGCATCATCGACGCAATACGCAAAGAACGATAAACTGTATGTTGCCTTAATCATGTTGACAGCTATATATATATATATACTTCATCTTAACTCCACCTGTAACACTTCTAGGGTTACTACAAGTCCCAAGTCAGGATCATGGAAGAGGGTTAAAGATAGAGTCAGAAATCCTATCCCATAGAAAATAACCTTGCTAAAGAAATACTAAACAGAAAAAATCCTTCAAATCATTTACACCCTACACGGGGAGTTGAAGGATTTTCATTTAGAAGAGATTCTTCGGAAACCGCGAAACCGATGTCTCTTCTAACAACCCGAGCTACGATTAATAGGGGTATATGGAATGTCTCAACAGTGTAGGACTATTTAGATAGCTGTGTAAATGAGAAGATACAACTTGGTGGTTCTCGGAATAACTGAAAACCATTGCACTAAGGCTAGACAGAAAAAATTAATTTCGATAGAAACCCTACAAGATCTACTCAAATAAGAGTGAACTACTAAACAGGAAAATTGGAAGCGAATTAAAGAAGTACTAACTTGAATGTGTCAAGAGTTTCTGGACTGCGAGAAGCATTGTCATATCGAAACTCTAGACAAGATTCAAGAAAAGGTAAACAAGAAGACAGCAATCAATAACAGTCGATTAAGAGCAGGGAAAGTCAAGGCACAGGTTGAATACACAGAAGCAAACAAAAGAGTGAAGAGGAGCATTAAAACCGACAAAAAGAAACACGTAGAAGACCTAGTAATGACAGAGGAAAAAGAAGCAAAAGAAATAAATGTCAGACAACTACATGACACAACCAAGAAACGAGCATGCAAATATTGTATATCAGAGAGACCAGTCAGGGACATAGAAGGCAAGACAATCACAGAGATTTAAGAACAGAGGAACAGATGAGTGAAACTCTTTGACGAACTCTTGAATATTCCGGCTCCATTGAATCCACCAGAAATTGAAGCAGCACATACAGACCTTCCTATAGAAGTCACTCCACCAACGATCAAAGAGATCAGGATAACTATCAGACAAATCAAGAGTCGAAAAGCAGCAGCACCTGACAATATAACTGGACGGTTTGGACATTAAAATAGTAAATTTATTACCCATTATTGTTTATTAACCTATTATGCTAACCGTTAATAAAAATTTAAAAGTGAACTACTATCAGTATTACTTACTTTGTCCAATAATACTTCAGGTAAATGTTTAACAATATCCAACGCTAAATGTTGTAATTTTTTAAAAACATTAAATCTAGCCGGAAACCATCTTTCTTTTAAATAACAATTAACTTTCGTCTCAGATACGAACAATGTTAAAAATCGTAATCGGAAGTTGTGTACTTCATCAGTCTTAAGAAGAACAATGAAGAAGAAAAAAATTCATCATGACAACGATATGAGAGAAAATACGTAGTTACTTAAAAGTGACTAATTATAGTTTAATCATTGTAAATTATTGAGACACTGATGATGATAGTAATAATAATAACAAAACGAAATAAAAATATAAATTCAACTTAATATTGTTTATTTGAATCTTCCCATTGATGTTTTTAGGACTGCAACTGGTCAGTCTCTAATTGGCAAATGTGCATACTGTGTGTATTGACTCTGACACTGAAGGTATATGGATGTAAAGAAAATAAAATTGATGCACAATTCAATAACTTGAAGTAATTTGAATACAACATCTATTAAAACCGTTAACAGGATTCTAGATAAAATTTTACACCGGAACTAGCAAAGAAATCTGCGTCACAAGACAAGCCCTCACATGGAATCCTGGAGGTCACAGGAGAAGAGGAAGACCAAAGAACACATTACATCGAGAAATGAAGACAGATATGAGAAGAATGAACAAAAATTGGAAAGAATTGGAAAAGAAGGCCCAAGACAGAGTGGGTTGGAGAATACTGGTCAGCGGCCTATGCTCCATTGGGAGTAACAGGTATAATTTTTTAAAAACTAAAGTAGCAAAGAAATAAATTCTTGTATGAACTTTCTTGTTTTAGTGTACAAATTCTATCGACGAATTAAAATGCTCCAAGATACAAGTATAATCGTCTTTTCATAATATTTAGACAATGAAGTTATATGAGTCGTTAAGGATTTGTTGAATAAAATACGTGTTACGTACGCCCAACCACCGACTGCCTCGACGTGCGATGTTTTATGGTGTAGGAGTATGTTGGAAGAAAGCTAGGGGTGGCCAGACCAAAACGTGGCGCAAATCCATGAGGTCACTTACTGACAAATAGACTGAACCATGTTGGTAGGTGTAGAATACCTGGTTGGGATACCCGGGATGATAGCAATCGTTAGTTAGAGACCTTGAATGACATGGCTCAAAATCGTTTGCAATGGCGAATGTGCATCCACTCTTTGTGTTCTCCCAAATTATAATCTTCTGAATTCCTCATGTCCCCATCTTTTTTCTCTTACCAAATTTATTTCATTGGATTATACTCCTTCAATAACCTCTTCAAACCCTAATCTTTCACATAATGCGTATACTCTTACTACTTCTACCACTATGAAATTTGAATCGATAACTGCATCTCTGTGCTAATGTGGTATGGCAACTCGAAGTGATGCACGTACGTACGTACGAAGTTCTACGTTGTGAATGACTAACTGACTGACTGTTGAGTAAACTACAAATAATATCATCTTTTCTTTGTTAGCTTTGTTTTTAAGTATGGATTTATTATAAACTCAAAATAATTTAAATACCAAATTGCAATTGTAACTGTTCAGCAGCAACGGACTTAAAGTTATTCATAATTAGGTTATCTTTTAATCTAATCAATATATTACTTAGAAACTATGTTGACAGTTTTATGCATTTCAATATGACAACTATTCTAGGTTATCATAAGTTCCTTTTTTTCTATTTTCTAATTATTTTTACTCAAATTTATGATCAGAATAAATTGGATGAGCTTGTTGAAATAGGTAAGTGTCTTTAATAGTGACGTCGGCTGTAATTTTGTCGATACAGATAGTTAAAAACTTGACATTTTTATAAAATGCGGTTATAAGACAGCAGCCACTCAATGGTAGTACCGACTTATCTTAGACGAAAAAAAATTTCAACTTTGGTTGAAATAGTAGAATTTACAGTTTATACTTCTCGATTATAAAGATTCATCAGAAATAGGTTAGACAACCGCTATTAAACTAGTATGCCTTACATCAAATATGAGTCTTCAGTTGCCCGATGATGTCTCACAATTTACTACGAGATTAACCAAAACCCTATCTATTTTGAAGAAATATCATTCAACTAAAATCCTAAAACTAGATTTATTAATAAGCAACATAAAAATCTCACTCTGCAGTCTGAATTTGAGTAAACTCTCCAGGAAGACACTTTCATTATCATTTTCAACTAAATGGGTGTGTTTTCACAATATTAAGATATAACCACTTGTTTCGATGCTTTCAGGATGAACTGGTTGTGATATCTGGTTACCTCAATCCTATTGAGTGAAACACAATTTCCGCCGGAAATCAGTAACAGCTTAGCCCATATCAAAGAAAGATAAAAGTAAAGAATCTTAGGCATCCGTTTATAATGCAATTGTATACGTTAGTTATCAAGAATATCTTCCTCCAACTAGAAAAATAAAATCCAATGATAAACTGAACTAATTCATAGGATATTGATATAGAATATCTAACTTACTAGATCTGACTGAGAATAGTGTTGATTTAATTTGGAAAAACACAAAGTATAATTACATGTTGGTGCAGATGATTCCAAGTATAAATGCATAATCTAAATTACAAAATGATAAAATAATTTTTTTTTGTGTATGGGGGTTGGTGATTAACTAATCAATCTAAGAGAATAATGCTTTGGAGGAACAGAAATTCGGTACAAAATTGATTTTTCCAAACTTACAGAAATAAGAGGTAGTCTAAATTTTATTTGAACTCTAAAACATTGTTGCGTTGACTACACAATAAATTCAGACTACAAAACTATAACATGACGATTGGACAGTTGTAAGAATATTCAAAGATTATGTAGAAAGGAAAAGCGCAACAAACATATGACAATTATTATTATCAGAAGGGGTTTTGTCGAGATTTAGTATCTTCATAGTTGAAAGCGTGAGTCAATTGAAGCTTCGTGGATCAGTTGAAGTTAGACATTAACATTGTTGAATGCCGGCTCAACTATGAAAATATAACAATTAAGTTTGTATAGTTGAGATCATGAATCAATTGAAGCTAGACCACCATCGAAAACCTAGAAGCACTGGACGGCCGTTTCGTCCTATTATGGGACTCTTCAGCAGTGTGCATCCACGATCCCGCACTTGCGAGAGTAGAGCCCAGGACCTACCGGTCTTAAGCCAGAGCACTTAACCGACAGACCACTGAGCCGGCATTCAACGGTGTTAATGTCTAACTTCAACCAATCCACGAAATTGAGCAACCATTCACAAATGTCATCAGTGAGTTGATATCTCCCAACAGACCTGGTTGAACTCCACTGGTTACTACTTCTCACTGGAACTCCAGGAGATACCTCATGGAGCCAGTCACTAGTGAGCATATGATCATTATCAGAAGGGGGTTTTGTGGAGATTTTAGTAATGTTATATAGTTCAGATCATGAGTCAATTGAAACTAAACATTGCTCTGCATATCTCATTGCTTTAACTGTTAAAATGTTCTAAAGATAATAACAAAAAAACTACAAAATTCCAAATGAGTTCAAACTACATTGATACATTATGATAAGTAGTTTGAATTGGATAATAATGATTTAAGCGATGTGGGATTGTTCTACTAGCATGAAAATGATTTCATTAGTTATACACTTGCACAAATTGAGCTGATATTATGAACGTCGAAAGCTTGTTAGTTAACCGTCAACTACAGATAAACTGGAGAATTTAGAACAAACAAATATTGTAGTTAATTACCTTAACGATACAAATTAAGACAAGAGTTCAACAATTTTGACTAAGGTGAAATGACTTAAGTAAATCTGTAGTCAAATGTATTGATTACGTGTTCAGTCAGTCAGCTACAACGTAGGATCAGGCACATATACGTATCGGTTCAAGTTACCACACCTCATTAGCATAACAAGAATAAAACGGAATTCATAGAAGTAGTTACTTAAATGGTAGTAATACATAAAAGAAAGATTGCGTATAAGTATATAATACAGGAGAGAAAGAATTAATTGGTGGAAAAAAAGGTATAAAGTAATTTTAATCTCAAAGTTTAAGGGAAGATAGGGAGTAAATACATCTACGCTATTTTGATCGACTCTGAGCTATGTCACCCACAGTCTCCAACCATTGGTTACGATAGTCATGCGGACCCCAACCAAGTAGTCTGCATCTAACAACATGGTTCAGATTAGAAGTTAGGGATTTCAAAGACTGATACCAAGTTTTGATTTCGCTACCCCTAACGTTTAGCCGTCTCCAACACTAGTCAGCATTGGACGTCGCGGTAATCAGTGTTCAGACATACGTAACACGTGGCCCAACCATCCCAGTTGATGAATATTCATGACCTCATCAACTGATTTACTATCATTCCCTAATACCATGCGTTTAACCTCGCTATTACTTACCTGGTGATCCCAGAAGATGCGAGCAATATTTCTAAGGCATGTGCGGCCAAATACCAGTGACTTACGATTATCTTCTACCCTTAATGGTCACGTTTCGCAGCCGTAAAGTAGAACAGAACGAACTGCTGCGCATTTTACTCGTCCCTTAATTGACAGACGGATATCTCGTCTTCAATATATGTGACGTAAGTTGGCAAAAGCCAAACGAGCCTTCTCAATCCGTACAGAGATTTCGTCAGACACCAGCCCATTAGAGCTTATCACGCTTCCGAAATAAGTGAACTTCTCGACGTGTTCGACTACTTCACTCCCTATGTTTAGTTTGGGTGAGGACACAGGCCTGTCCTGAAGTAACAACTTGTATTTAGAGGAGGAGAAACGCATCCCAAACATCCTTGCATTGTTGCTCAGTGCTACCAAAAGACTGCATGTTATCAGCGTCTTCACCAAACAGGACTATGTCATCTGCGTATTCTAAGTCGATAAGTTGTTGTCTGAGGGAAACACCTTACTGCCGTCACACCTCTGTACAGTCAGCAGTACGACTTCACCCTCAGACCTTGGGTTTGCAGTTTTTAGTCTTACCGCCCTTCAACCCACCTGTCTGGCATGGTAGGACCTTGAAGAACGATTGTTCCAGCCATTATAACTCTATTAGTTCATTACGATATGCAAACCCGACCACCAAATCAAGGTAGCAGCAGCGATCTGGATTGAGATTGAGGTGTAAAATAAGAAAGACTGTTTCAGAGAAGGGTTTGTAGCGGCTGCTTCCATGTCCAGCTCGCATAGGTTATTCTAGCTTCTGGACAGACCAATTTATTCATTATTCTCAAGCTACGTTTTTCCCTTGTCACTTATTCGCTTATTAATCCTGACTTTTTATGTAATCGAATGTTTTAACTGCTTGCCCTATTAATTACGTGTCTGTTAATTATTTCTGTCTGAATATAAATGTTGAGTCACACTTGATCACAACAAGTTGGCTTACTCTCCTTCTCCGCCACGGCGAACTTCGTTTCGCTGATAGTCTGTTTGGATCAATGAGTGTATGAAATATACGTATTCAAAATTCATCCTTGTACTTGGCTTATTTTGTTTCGTTATTCTCTACCGCCAATTAAGTCGATGGAAACACAAGAGAGTTGGCTACATGTATATTTCGATAACAATCAGCACACGATTTAACTGTAATCAGATATCGAACCACTAAAAGTTCGATTTTCGGGGAATTCATTTTCAAAGCTGCATAATCTTAAATACCTACTTATTTTTTAAAATAATCATAATGATAGTAATGATGAAAATTTCGCTAAACATAGAAACAGTGAGGTAAGTTGAATGAAGACGTAAAAACGTTATTTTTATTAAAATAGTAGTAATATTATTGTTGAGAGCTTGAATATTCATCATGAAGATACATAAAGAAATTGAAATTGGAAAGGAAAGGCTCAGCGTCATGAGATAAAATTTATTATTTATTTATTTAAACACATAAATATTGGTACAAAGGGACACCAGATACATATGCGCCACACAAAACAATGAGAATGGGAAGAGAAAGGGGGAAGATGTGTATATATAGAAGAAAAAAATAGGATGAGAAAACAAAGAGGAGTAATGATTGGGGAAACTGAAATATACAACCAGAAGACTCTTTCAGTTAAGAAAGTTATAACCACTCTTTATGAAGAAAGTAAAAGAAGGTTACAGCAGGCTCGCCACTGGCTTCTATTTTGAGCCATATCTAATAACGTCTCTAGCCACTGTCTCTCGGAATCCAGTCAGGGAGTCGTGAAGAACCAACAGAAGCTAGCCCCTTGCAGCTTTCTTTCACACCACGACACCATGTCATACACTGACCACCTCTCCGCTTTTTCCAAACAGTCCCAGCGTCAGTAAATAATGCACGACGTGGAATTCTTTGGGACGACATTCGTAGAACATGTCCAAGCCACCGAAGTCGGTGTTTCAAGATGGTGACACCAATTGAATTATCGTCTCTGAGCCCGAACACACGATAATATTCTTGAATTCATTTGGATAAAATAAGTATAGAAACGACCCATATATCTACTTATTTTGGAGAAATGATTTCTACATATATCAGTTAATCCTCTATAATATTGTTTACTAAAATTACTTTAAGTCATTCTTAATAGTGACAATAAGAACACATAAAATCTTAAATAAGATGTACATTCATATAGTTAAAAATAATAGTATCATGTTCACGCGCAACAATATAACATAAGTGAAAACTTACAACACGTCTAGCTTCCTTTAAATAAGTGTTAAGGTATGGTTTATACGGTAATGAATCATTCAGTTTAGAAAATAAATGATTCCCCACTGTAATTAAAGTTTCTAATTGATCTTGATAATGAGTAGATAAGCTGCAATTGTTAGAATCAGTCTCAAGCAAATTTTCATTTAAGTTTTTTGAAAATAACACCGTTGCACAACACCACACACAAAAAGGTGGTGGCTTAACACACAAATGACCGTAAAGCTGAATAACTAAACAACAAAATACAAGAGGAAAAATAAATATTCAAATGAGTATGCTAAGTTGTGTAAAGAAAATGTCTATTTATCAACTGTGGTAATTTTAAATTATCGGTGACAATTATTTGACTGACTACTTTTCGAACACCGATTACCACGACGCGCTATGCTGACTAGTGTAGGGGATTGTTGGAAGAAATTTAGGGGTGGCCAAGCCAAAACGTAGCATCAGTGCTTGAAGTCACTTACTTATAGTCTGAGCCATGTTGGCAGATGCAGACTACTTGGTTGGGGTCCGCGTAACTATCGTAACCAATGGTTGGAGACTCTAGGTGACGACTCAGAATCGATCACAATGGCGTAGGTGTATACACTATTTATCTTCCCTTAAACCTTAAGATTAAAATTGCTTCATAACGTTCTTCCTTCCTATACTATATCCTTATATACAACCATTCTTTTATATACTACCACCACTAAATTAACTATTTCTATGAATCCGGTGTTCATCTTGTTGTGCTAACGAGGTATGGCAACTTGGACCGATGCATAAATATACCTGGTCCCACGTTGTAGCTGACTGACTGACTACTTTTTGATTAAATTGGCCTAAGTATTTTTTATTGAAAGTTTGTTTTAATCTTCATTATAACAGGAACGAAATAAATTCTGATCAAACAAGCATTTAAATTACATGACCGAATAGATTATCTTTTCCGAGCATGAAGCCCATATCAACAACTGAACAAACTTTGAAAGACAGAAATACTAACCAATTGGTTAAGCATCCCTGACTGAAATAAACCTTTAATTCACGGGCGAAATATTTAGTTAAAAAATTATATGAGCTGATTGAGAAGAAATGATAAATCAACGCTGAATCTAAAGTCAGTAACTATATAATGATGCTGCAGTTTTATATATTACGCAACTTTTCAGAGACTGAACCCAACTTCCCCCACTGTTCACCACTTTGTAATATCATCATAACCAATTAGTGTCTCAAATACTTCAATTTGACCCAAACTTCAATAAACAAAACTTATGACTAAAAATGGTCATAATGATAATGTAAACTTTATGATTACCTTCTTTTAAGATTACTGTATACCCCTTTCGAAGAACAAATATTAGGATGCTATTAAGCAAAAATCTATCCTGGCTTTCTAATCAATAGATTGTTAGATCTTAGAACGAACTTACCACATAGTTGTCGGTCTGTAAATGTGTTACTTCGCTCTTCATCTGCATCAAGATCGACTGTACCACTCTAAGATATATGAAAAAACTGGTAAATAAAAATGGGATTTGTAATGTTTAAATAGTGATATCCAATACCTGACAGAAATATATTCAAACACAGGGGTACATGATACAAAATTAAGCAGACTCAAACAGATACTCAATAATTTCAGGGCTTCATCACTAGGTTCAACTATCCTTGGTTGTTCCACAATCCGATCCCAACCCAAATAACACAAGCTGAGGGACATGATAGTTAATCGCGTATACTTCATCGCAAACACGTAATGATAAGACCTATGCCAATACACTTTCATCGGTTAAGCTAAATGTTGACTAAGATACTCTTTTTTCAATTTATGTTGCATATGACAAGTAAATCCAAGTCGTGTGTGCTTCGATACAGCATTAAAATGTACTGTACACTTAATAAATTTCCCAGAGTCTACTTCCTTCGGTCTTAAAGATCTTGGGTGTATTTAACTAGCCTGTGATATTAATTCATTATCGTATCACTGTAATTCAAATATAATGGAAAACCACTTCAAACGGACAGTCGTTTTGCAAAAAGTATTCAAATTCATAACAAAGATATATTTGGAAACCTTTGATGAATGCAGTGAAAAATATTGGAATCGCGTTATGTACATGGTAGGATGTTAACAAATATTTTATTTGTTTATTTTAATCCACGACTTTCAAGCTTGTCCATTGAGAAATACGACCAATCAAGAAGGCAAAAGTACTCATGGGGCACAAAGATCTGAAGCAAATAAAAGTTTGAATATAAATTTATGAAAAGATAGATATATATATATGATAACCAACATAATGCCTATCAATAGTCAAAAAATACCATAAGTTTGAGGACTGCGTATCATTACAATATCTAAGTGGTGGAAATCCTGAGAAATTACTGAACGTTTTTAACTATAAATGTAAAAACAGATTCCAACAAATTGAATGGATCTACTGCTTACTGGTAGAGCGTTGTATTCAAGCGTACTTTCTTTACTGTCTCAGGCAGTACGAGTAGCCCAAGAAACACATTCGACTTACAAGTGGCAATATATAAAACAATACAATAGGAAAAACATTATTTTTAAAAAAATTAGGTACGATAAATATGAGCTCACGCTGAAATAACCAACACATTAGTCAATATTTATACCACGAACCGCTTTGCTTAATTTTTCTTTGGGTGTAGTCATAGCACCAGCCCCTTAATGCTCTGGTACGGCCGATAGTGGGAAGAGTTTGCTCTTCCTCTAGAAATGCCCCCATACAGCCACTGTCAGGGAAGTCCTACTCACTTCTTTCTCGCGGTGGGGGTGTTCTTTACGAAAATGAGATAACAAAAAGCGAATGTACAGAGAATCAACCGGATTGGTAAATATGAAGGATCCACCCAAAGGAGTTGGAAAACCCTGATTCCAAACCAATGGTGCACATGAGCCCCAGGGTCCCGAGTGAACGAAAGGAGTACGAACCTATCGTTGGACACCGTCTATCACGAGACATCACCTCCTAATGCTGCTCCACTACCTTATGGATTAGACCTCTAAGTTAAAGGATCTAAGAGTGGCCTCCTATGAAAAACATTTACTTCAGTTTGAGTGCCCGTACAGTATGCTAGCCCCGACATAAATCAAATGAGCGTGACGCGTATATATTTTGTGCCTGCTTATACCGATGTTTATGTGCTTAAATAAGAAAAACAATTTACAACACAAACAAACCACTACAATTAAAGGAACTTTTCACTCATAACTTTTAGGACTAGATGCAGTTAAATAACTGGGTACTTAAGTAACATCTACAAATTCGGGTTAGTTCACGTTAACATGTAGCCCAAAAAATACAGAAAAAACACCTTAGTAGTGTCTATCGTTTTAAGACATTGTAGCTAATCCACACAGTGCCCCTAATTTATAGTTGCAAATTCATGTTTAGACGAATATATGTCAAGATATGTGACATACAAAAAGCTTTGTAGTAACTTACTAGTTTATATTGACAGGTATTAATACCTGACAATTGCAATTAAAATATAACGATTGATGCTCTAGCACCTGCCAACTACTTATAACGTTGCACAACAATACGCTTTTTATTTTCAATAATGTTTTTGAACCTATACTAAATTCTACGTACATTTCACTTTCCGTATGCTGTGTTTTGGGAATGAAGGCGAACACAGATGTTTGAGGTTATGACAAAGGTGTTTTAAGAGTGGATGCAAAATTACATCGGTGTGTATATATTTAGGCGAAAAGTAGACAATTAAGGGACATTTGAAACGCAGAGAGACATAAAGGGGAGATCCCGCATTATTTCCCCGGACAGTCTTCAGACAGGCAAAAAAACAGACGTTTCGGCGCATTTCCGCATTATTTTCCCTTTATTTTTCAATGCATTTCCCCTTTATTCTCTTTGTTCGCCTTTACTGGTTGTCTGGGTTTAGATTAAATTTAAATGTGATCACACTGGAAAATAATGTTTGTAGTCACGTTTAAAACTGTGCACACAGTAAATTAAGTATCCTAAAATAGAATAAACGTTTTCAAAGGCACTCATTGCAAAGAATGCAACAAGTTACTTGTGCCCAAGCTACAAATTCTGGCATTTTGCTGAGTGACCCAAGGCAAATTTTGAGGAAACCCCCAGGCCCGAATAATTCTTGTAAAAACAAGCACAAATGCAGATACTTGCCGCCAAAAAGCAGTGTGACGCAAACTCGGTACAGTTCACAAATTTGTACAGATCTCTTTAAATTTATTTAAAAGATATAAAACCTGAGTTTCTAAGAATACATAACATGCATTGACACGTATACTAATTACAACCTTGTTTTAATATATCTTCCGGACAAGTATCGTCTTAAGACACTTTTACCGAGTGGCTACTCAAGAAAGTTTTAATTCTGGCAACTGCTAAGTGATATTTTTATTCTGAAACCGGCTTTATTTTCGTATTTATCTGCAATGGTCTCGTTGAGCCTAATGGGAATTAAGAGAGACTTGTGTCAGTCATCAGATCATCGAAGTTAATTGGCTACCATCGTTCGACCTTTTATAAACGAATGGTAAACCTGCAAGCAGACCTTTTTATCAGACACGGGTTGCTTGCGCACAAAACGATTTAAAACGACAGAACTGACATGTACCCAACGTCAGTGGGTGCTGTTTTATCAGCTGAATCTAATCATGAGACCGCTTCATCTGGTTGGAGTCTTCCTTTTACCACCATAGATACTGGTACTGTTAAATAGCTTATTCCAAGTGATCCTGTTTAAAACACCTAGAAGTTGAATTGATTTTTCGTAAGCGTCCGTCAGTGGAAGAGGAGCCAAGAAACGTGTGATAAGTATGATGATTGAAGGCGATATAACTGTAAAAAACGGTGTTCCTATACTTCGACTATTCCTTCAAATTTTTCGAAGGGTTACTAAGTTCATACAAAGCGCTCTTACAAGCTGTGGCAATGTACAGCCTGAGCAATCTGAAAACTGCCGTTAACTAATACATAGGGCTATAAAACAATCTCATATGTGCTGATGAATATTGACTACCGAAATCTTGTAATGGTATTGATTCTAACCACATGAACTTTGAAGTTGAACGTATAAATACTGAGGAGATTTATATTCAGCATGTAACACTTAGAGAAGGTAAACAATGGTGAACTCGGGAAAAAACAATTAATTCATATGGCATGGTTTTGCTTTGAGGGCATGGTTATCCTGTGTAACATATATATATTCACATTATATATTATTCTATCTACATCCTTAATGTGTTTCTCATTAGTTGAAAACATTATATTGCTGATTTCACGACAAGGCGAGTCAGATTCAACTGTGATGTGACCCAGAATGACATTACGGAATCATGTCATACACTCACACGTTATCGTAGGTTTCGTAACGGCCGTAAACGGTCACATACACCTCGAAGAAGCACTTTACGTAGGCAATCTGTCTCCAGACTACGAGAAACGGAGACTAGTAGACGGAAACACCAATCTATCTGTTTGCGCAACTTCTTTTTCAGGTTACAGATTATCTTCAGCTACAATTAGACACACAATGGACCAATTCTATCAACAATTACTCGGTTAGTGCTATGGTAAAGTGTTATCAAACCACAATACCTATGACATCTTCAGTTGTAACCAAGAGGAGAACAACTCCCGACTCATATCTAAGAAAATGGCATGAACTTTTGCCAGTATTGGGGCAAATTCTACTGTGTTGCTTTCCGTTTGCTGGAGACTTGCTCGACTGCTTATACCGATGATTCACATGTATGCTTATGTCACTAATCATCAGTCAATTTATCATCCGGCTTTCTTAACAGTTTCACCAACATTATCAATCACATTGCATGATTGCATGATTGTCACGTCATGACAGTGCTTCCTGACAATATATAGAAATCATCATGAATAACTGTTTATAATGCTGACTGGGATTTCGCCAGTGGGAAATAGGCATTGTTGTTTTACGTGAATCGTAAATATCAAATTCGAGCAGCCCGATTATATTACGAATTGCGATCCGGAAATATTCGTATTAATTTTGATAGTAGGCTACAGAATTTTTATTTTAAACTTTCGCTTGACCAACAGCCACATGGTAATTTGGTCATTATATCAGTGCAATGATCTCATTATCGTAAATGTGTTAGGCGTTTTCACAGGCAACTAATACGATAGCCCAATCCACAAACTTAAATACGTATAGTGATAACGATTACGATGTGTTTGGTGGAAATTATTGAGGACGGTTCAAATAATCGCTGAGTTGACATGACATATAGTTGTCATGGTGCAACGCATATGCAAGCCAGGTTAAAATATACGTTGATGGGGAAAGTAAGAATGAAAAAAAGTGACTTGGTAGAAAAAAATTAAGTGTTGATATATGCCTTATGGAACAACAGGAACATGATAGTTATGACATGGAATTTTTATGAGTGGTTGCTGTGGTTAACCTAGTGACATTTATAAATGTGTAGTGATAATCATGACCAAGGAGTTTCGAATTAGTTTGGAATCTGATATGTTTCTCCTGAAGACAACACACATTCTTACAGAAGTATGTTTTCGTTTGAAGCTACTAAATATACGTTAATTCCAAAACAGTTTTGTGAATGGTTCATATGAAATGTACACCGTTGGCCTAGGTGAAAATAAATACATGTTAGGAAGTATCGGACACGTGGAGGATTATCTAGATAAAGGGCGAGAACTGTCTGTATTAATTTCGGAATTTGGATCATCCAATAGATTTGATGCGTGAAAAGCCATCTGTGGGGAGTAGTATAGGTCTTAGAGGAACCAGATTAAAGACGTAGTGTCGCAAATGATTCCTGTGTGCATGTGATGAAGTTGACATTTTAACTTGGTTGATTCAGTAAAAAGATGAAGAATTCTGAAAATCATGTGTCACTCACTGTGTGACCAATTTAAAACGAGCTTAAGAATGAGGTAACTTTATAGCCTAAATTGACCGGTGCTTCTTGATATATCGTCTATATAAGCCAAAACTTAGAAACTAGGCAGACAGTTTTCAGGAGAAAAGATATTAGGAGATAGTCCATATTTTAAAAAATGGAGTTCAATGTCAAGTGAAGAGAAGAGATGAAGAATTAGATCCAGACCCCTAACCAGTCCTTGCTTACATCGATTGCCAGTCTTTACATATTTAAGTCGATGAAGAGTCATATTTGCCAGTAGTTGATGTTTTTTAAAGGTCTATTTC